AATAACGTTCACGTACTAACAAAAACATCTAAGAATGTATCTTTTATTCTCCAGTACTGAAAACAGAACCGATAAGGGAGCTTTTGATATGGGCTGTGACGCAGCTCTTGCAAATTACCTTTTTTGTTCGTTGTCTGTCATTTCGAAGCTCAAGTTGCATACTTTTTTCTTTAGTTTTAATTTGCCTAACTATCGGTCTGACCCAGTAGACGCCATAATCACACTCTGTCGCTCTCCCGACCCGCTTTCCGTTTTTGTTTTTTTTTTAATGGTGGGTGTTTACGCAGTTGGCTAGAGCAGTGCTGATTGGGGAGAACGGAGGTGTCAGGCCGGAGCGATGATTCAAAAACATGAAAACCCATTATAAACGAGGCATTTGTTGCATCCAGTGGGGACATAATTATGGATTATAATGACTTATATTGTCTTTTTACGCATTGCGTTGCATCGCGCCGCGTAAACATAAAACCATGTCTGCATTTGTGATCGGAGAAATGACAAACAACAAGCCCTACTCTACACTGCCCATATATACCGCTTTAAATATAAAAAATATAAAATATAAGGCGCGGCCGGCGGATTCGACAAAGGAGGCTTGCGGCAACCACATGTGACGACCCCAGGCTGGACTCCGCTTCATCCACGGTGAAAGCCGATCCGGCGATCCACAGCGCAAAGTTGTTGTATTTCCTCAGCAACCAGCACGGATCAGCTCCAGGCATGACGAAGCAGATATCGTCCTCTTTTGGAAGGCCAAACAAAGTAGTTTCGCTTTAACAACGAATTCTGAATTGGATGATTCGGGTAATTCTGAAATGGATGAATACCAAAATAATAGCTCAGCTCAGATAAATCTTATTCAGAATAAGCCATGATGACAGTCTCCCTGAACTGTTGAAATGTGTTTAGACTTGGCGATGAGTGTTTTTGTTTTTTTTTTGCCCTAAAAGTAGTTAATATTGATTATTTCACAGGCAGAAAATAAAGCTAGATATGGTTGCTTGCTTTAAAATTTATTGTGCTTGCATAAACTTACCAAGGTTGCAATTATTTGATCAAAAATACAGTAAAAACTAATATTGTGAAATATTTTTACAATTTTAAAATAGCAGTTTTGTATGTTCAAATATTTAAAATTGTAATTTAGTCTTGTGATTAGGCCTAATTTTCAGCAGCCATTACTCTAGTTTCAGTGTCGTTTCATTCTAAGTTGATTTGGTGCTCAAGA